AAAAAAAAGAAGTAAAGGCATCCAAATCAGAAAGGAAGAAGTAAAACTATCCTCATTCACAGAGGATATGATCCTATACATACAGAACCCCAAAGATTCCACAAGAAAACTCTTGGAACTAATAGATTCAGCAGAGTAGCAGGATACAAGATCAACATACAAAAATCAGTTGGATTCCTATACACCAACAAGAGAACTTCAAAAAGGAAATCAGGAAAAAATACCATTTATAATAGTCCCAAAAAAGATAAAATTCTTAGAAATAAATCTAACTAGGGATGTAAAAGACCTATACAAAGAATACAAAACACTATTTCAAGAAACCATAAATGGAAAAATAACATAAATGGAAAAATATACCATGCTTACAGATAGGAAGACTCAACATTGTGAAAATGTCAATTCTACCCAGAGCGATCTACAGATATAATGCAATCTTGATCCAAATACCAACAGCATTCTTTTATGTGATGGAAAAACTAATCACCAGCTTTATATGGAAAGGAAAGGGGCCCCAGATAAGCAAAGCATTACTCAAGAAGAAGAAGAAAGTAGGAGGCCTCTCACTATCTGATCTCAGAACCTACTATACAGTCATGGTAGTCAAAACAGCCTGGTACTGGTACAACGACAGACATGTAGACCAATGGAACAGAATCCAAACAGAGATGTAAACCCATTCACCTAATTGTCAGCTGATCTATGACAAAGGACCAAAGTCCATTAAATGGGGAAAGGACAGTCTTTTTAACAAATGATGCCTGCAAACTGGATGTCCATCTGTAAAAGAAACAAAACACGACCCATACCTCACACCATACACAAAAACTAACTCAAAATGGATCAAAGACTTAAATATAAAACCTAAAACAATAAAGATCATGGAAAAAAAAATAGGGACAATGCTAGGGGCCCTAATACATGGTGTAAATAGAATACAAACCATAACTAACAGTGCACAAACATCAGAAGATAAACTAGATAACTGGGAGCTCCTAAAGAAGTTAAACGTTTATGCTCATCAAAAGACTTTACCAGAAGAGTAAAAAGAGAACCTACAGACTGGAAAAAAAATTTGGGGTATGACATATCCAACAAAGGTCTAATCTCTAAAATCTATAAAATACTTCAACACTTCAACAACAAAAAGACAAATAATCCAATTAAAAAATGAGCAAAGGATGTGAACAGACATTTCTCCAAAGTAGACATTCGTGGCTAACAGACGGGAGAGGCAATGCTTGCGATCATTAGCCATTAGAGAAATGCAAATCAAAACTACAATGAGATTCCATCTCACCCCAACATTACTGGCACTGATAAAAAAAAAACAAAATAACAAATGTTGAAGAGGTTGTGGAGAGATTGGTACTCTTATGCACTGCTGGCGGGAATGTAAAATGATACAACTACTATGGAAAATGATATGATGCCTCCTTCAAAAGCTAGAAATAAAAATACCATATGACCCAGCAATCCCACTCTTAGCAATATATCCTAGAAAAATAAGAGCCATCACATGAATAGACATATGCACACCCATGTTCATTGCAGCGTTAGTCACAAGAGCAAAAAGATGGAAACAACCTAAGTCCAAATCAACAGCTCAATGGATAAACTACTTATGGTACATACACACAATGGAATACTATACAAAGATAAAGAAAAATGATGAAACCTTGAAACATCTCATGACATGGATGAATGTGGAAGGCATTATGCTGAGTGAAATAAATCAATCATGAAAGGACAAATATTGTATAAGATCACTATTATAAAAACCCAAGGAAAGGTTTACACACTGAAAAAACAGCGTTTGATGGGAATGAGGGAGGGGAAGGTTGGGGAGGGGAAATCACTAACTAGAATCACTAACTAGAGGGGAAATCACTAACTAGACAAGTGTTGACTTTGGTGAAGGGAAAGACAACATACATTATTGGGGAAGTCAGCAGAACTTGAACAAGACAAAGCCATAGAAGCTTCCAAGACACATCCAAACACCTTGAGGGACTGAGTTACTAGGGCTGAGGGCTGGGGATCATTGTCTCAGGGGACACCTAGGTTCATAAAGAAAATGTTTTATATCCTACTTTGGTGAATAGCATCTGGGGTCTTAAAAGCTTGCGAGTGGCTATCTAAGAGACATCTATTGGTTCCATCTCGTCTGGAGCAAAGGAAAGTGAAGAAAACCAAAGACCCAAGGGAAATATTAGTCCAAAGGACTAATGGACCACATGAACCACAACCTCTACCAGCCTGAGCCTAGAAGAATTAGATGGTACCCGGCTACCACCACTGACTGCTCTGACAGGGATCACATTAGAGGGTCCTGGACAGAGCAGAAAAAAAATGTAGAACAAAGTTCAAATTCACAAAAAAAGACCAGAGTTACTGGTCTAACAGAGACTGGAAGAACCCCCGAGACTATGGCCCCCAGACATCCTACTATCCTGAACGGAAGCCACTCCCGAAATCCATCTTTCAGCCAAAGACTAGACAGGCCTATAAAACAAACAATAACATGTGAGGAACGTGCTTCTTAGTTCCATCAAGTATCCGGGACCAAATGGGAAATACCTGTCCAAATCAAAGGCAAGAAGGCAGGAAGGAACAGGAAAACTGGACAAATGGACACAGAGAACCCAGGGTGGAAAGGGAAATGGGGAGAGCACTGACACATTGCAGCGATTGCAACCAATGTCACAAAACAATTTGCGTATACATTTTTGAATGGAAAACTAATTTGTGCTGTAAACTTTCACCTGAAACAATAAAATTTTAAAAAAAGAAGTTACTATATGCAGAAAAATATTCTATGCAGAATTTTAACACTTATCCTTAGACCTCTGAGAGATAATATGTGTGTTGTTGTTGTTAGGTGCTGTGGAGTCAGTTCCAGCTCATTAGAGACACTGTGTACAACAGAAGGAAACACGGCCTGGTGCTGTGCCATCCTCACAATCGTTGTTATGTTTGAGCCCATTGTTGCAGCCACTGTGTCAAACCATCCTGTTGAGAGTCTTCCTCTTTTTTGCTGACCCTCTACTTTACCAAGCATGATGTCCTTCTCCAGGGACTGGTTCCTCCTGACAACATGTCCAAAGTACATGAGAAGAAGTCTCATCATCCTCCCTTCCAAGGAGTATTCTGGCTGTACTTCTTCCAAGACAGATTTGTTTGTTCTTCTGGCAGTCCATGGTATATTCAATATTCTTCGACAATACCATAATTCAAATGTATCCATCATCCTCGATCTTCCTTATTCGTTGTTCAGCTTTTGCATGTATATGAGGTGATTGAGAATACCATGGCTTGGGTCAGACACACCTTAGACCTCAAAGTGACATCTTTGCTTTTTAACACTTTAAAGGAGTCTTTTGTAGCAGATTTTCTCATTGCAATAATGTGTTTACCTGGAATATATTAGTTATAAAGCCGGTGTGTGTGTATGTCTGAGTGTAGGGTGCATGCCCATGTCATTTATAAGACATCTGAAGAATAAATTATTGTGGGTTAGAGTAGCCAGATTCCTTCTTTTGACTTGCCTATATTTGGCATATGAAATTGGATCTACAGTTCTATAAAGATGACCAATAGATCATCTTAAGCATATTACACTAAAAATAGTTACCTATCTCCTGATGAGAAGAGAACCAAGTGTGCTGGATAATTCTTAAAGCTTGTGAATCAGTAGGAAAAGGGGGTGGGAGGGGAGTCAAGAGGTGCTCTAGAACTTAGATTCCAGTTGACTACTTAGTTTCATAGGACAATAAACAATAGGTGATATTTTGTGTGAAGTTGATCTAATTATTAGCTACATCCCAATTATTCAGATCTAACTGAATTATATAATAACTACAGTGTCTCAGTCTTAATTTATCAGCATTAATAGCATCAACTCCAATTCAAGAAAAGTCAAAATCATCCCGAAAAGACAGCAAGAAGAGAACTTGTCCTGCTTTTAAGGAACCAAGTGACTTGGATGATGGGCAAGAGAGCTTGGAAGTAAAATCCATGGCGGGAGATAAAGTGAATGGTAATACTTTATTCTGAATTAGTGTCAAGAATCTCTCTCTCTGTTTTAGTTTTATTTGTCAGCAGGCCAGTAAGTTCTTATCTTTGAGAATTCAGAAAGGCTACAATGCCGGGTTTCTCCTAAGAAAGATGGGTTTTCCTTAATTGTCCCCTAACTTGAGGCCATATATCAATGTTTTACAGACCTGTCTTTCTAGTTTTGGGCTCACAACCTGCCTTCCTTCGCTGTCACTAAAGTTCCTCACTTCCTGGACTGTTGTGTTGTCAGTCTGGGTAATGAGCACAACAGAAGAGACAAAAGGCAGTCCGGGTTAGCTTCAGAGAGCTTTTTAGGGGGTTTGATGAGGGAGGAGTCCCTGCATGGTGCAAGGGTTAATGAGCTCGGCCGCAAACTGAAAGGTCGAAGGTTCAAGTCCACCCAAAGGTGCCTCAGAAGAAAGGCCTGGCAATGTACTTCTGAAAAGTTAGCCATTGAAAACCCTATGGATCCCAGTTCTACTCTGACACACATGGGTTCACCATGAGTAGGAATCGACTGGATAGCAACTAGTGTGGATGGGGGAGGAGAGAGAGATTTTGGGTCAGCTGATATGTATGTGAGATAAAGAGATAAGGGAGATGGGTATGGGGGTTTTAAGAAAAGTTTCTGGACATCATGAATGGGCTTTCCCTTTGTTGTTTTTGAAAGACGTGAGTAAAGATTGAAAATGCCTTGCAAATATTTTTGGCTAATACAACAAGTGTTTCTTTGAATTGGACTCCCCACAAAGGCTGGTTTCAAGGTGGGGCCAAAACAATCATGCTTTATGAGGGTTATACTAGCAATGGGCATCTTTGTGTATACCTGTGTCTGTGTATACCTGTAGGGTAAACTCCTAGGAGTGGAATTGCTAAACCAAAGGATAAATGCATTTAAAAAGTAGAAAGATGTTGTCACGATTATTTTTAAAAAGTGGTGTATCAACTTATGCTCCTAATTTGAGAGCCTCCCAAAGCCAATCCAACACTTGGTATTATCCATCATTTTGTACTTGATAATACCATCATAAAAATGGTATTTGCATTTCTTTAAGGTGGATCCTTAGCAAACTAAATGTCCATCAATGGGCAATGGCTAAGAAGGTAATGAAAACAACCATCTTACGGACTACTATACAATAGCTAAAAATTGTCTAATGAGGATCCGAGGTGACTTGGAAAGAGATACAGAATATATTATGAAAGGAAAACAAAACAAAACAAAACAAAAACCAAGTTAGTAAAAATGTACTCATCACAATTCTTTTTTAATAAAAGGACAAAGCTCTGTGTTTTATGTATGTAATATGTATGTATTAGCAGACTTTCTTCTGGGATTGGAAGAGTGGGGAAGATTTTGACATCTTAATTTCATTCAGTTTTATATGTTTTTAATATTATTTAATTAACAAATAAAGCAAAGGCCAGGGGGGACAATTGAAGTTTTATGTCATCCTAGTATGCCGATACACAAACATTCTTGAGATAAAATCTATCTGGTCAAGGACAATTAGATGTTTAATACAGTGCTGAATTTTATTTGTTGGTTATAGATTGGGGTAGTTTGGCATAGACTTTTAATTGCTAGGTCAGATGAGGCAAACTACTTTGATTTTCCATGGCTCAGTTACCTCTTTTATAAAATGAGGATAATGTTTTCATGGAGATAATGTATCTGTGAGGTATTATAAGGATCGAAAAGCCCAAGTAGGAGAAACAGAATAGGTTTGCTCGCCTGTAAAGACATCTTTGTTAACTGGAGGGTCTTAGGCACCTTGGAGGTATTGCCCATAATCTAATAAGCTGCTTTCTAAAGAAATAGGCCAGAGCTTGTACATTCAAGTGAGTATCTTGTTCTCATCTGTGGCATTTCAAAATATTTTGGGAGCCCCTTTTTCAAAACTGCCTTTTAGTCATTCATTACTCAGGAGTGACACACTCAAAGCAGCTTTGGTTTTTGGAAACATCCAAAGATCATTTGAAGTCAAATTTGATTAATAAGGTGGAGATCAAACTCTGCAATACAATTTTTGTTTAAAAAGACTATGTTAGAGCTATGCTTTGAAGGGTAGCTTTATTCCTGTAGGAGACAGATGAGACCTGACTCTGCCCACATGTGGCTTATAATTGCTTAGGGTTGGGGACAGATAATTAAGCATAATTATAATACAATGTGATAAGGAGTATGACAGAAAATTTATGTGTTAGTTGAGCAGAAGACATTTTATTTATTTATTTTTTATTGTACTTTAGATGAAGGTTTACAGAACAAATAGTTTCTCATTAAACAGTCAGTACACATAGTGTTTTATGACATTGGTCAACAACCCCACGACATGTCAACACTCTCCCTTCTTGACCTTGGAGGACCTTTTTTTTTGGTGAAAATATACATAGCCAAAGATACACCATTTCAAAAATTTCTACATGTGCAATTCAGTGACATCGATCACATTCTTCCAGTTGTGCTGCTATTCTCACTATTCTTTTCCAAATTATTCCGTCACAATTATCTGCAGAAGACATTTTAAAGAGAAAGATGAGCAAGAGAAAAATATTACAAGGCATCCTTCTCTATGATCATTCACGTAGAGATTCAGAAATCAAAAGCCCAAATCCTATATCTGGTATCCACAGGTATCCTCTATTGAAACTAAATATTAAAACATCTTATCTCATGCATAGACACATTTGGGAAATATAGTCCATTAGGAAACTGACGAGCTTGGCAACAGGAATTTATCATTAGGCTTTTGCTGAGCTCCTTCCTTCTGGTCAAACTACTGTAAAAACACAAGCACTTTGTGAGTTATTGTTTTTAACCAGGTTATATGTCACAATTCTGTTATCCTAATTGTGATCATTATTTTGTGAAAATGATTTTAATAAGCATCACATTCTCAAGAAAAAAAAAAGGTAGATATGTTACTATAAATTCTTAAGACCTATTCTGAGTGAATCATAAAGGAGGTATAAAGGTCATTTCTACAGGGAAGTTTCAAAAATGTGTGAAGCATTGCGATAACACACGTTGCCGTCAAAACATGCACATCTAGAGGCTAATACACACTTGTATATAAAAGTACCAGTGTATTTCTTTAAACCTGTTTGGTTAAATGTCATCATTTCTGGACATGGGGGCATTTGCCCACAGATGGCATGCCCCTTGGGCAGCAGAGACCTCAATTCGCATAGCGTTAGAATGGGTTTAACTTTCATGCAGAAGTACTTAATCTTTTTCTTAGAAGCTGACTTGTTTTTGTCTCCTTCTTTTGTAAAAGCAGATGATGTGGGAAAAGTACAAAAACAAAGACAACTGGAAACTCCTGTAGAATCACTCTCTTGCCCAAGGAAAAAAGGCTGGCATACCCCCATGTCACCTGACCAGTTCCTCCTAACTGTCAACGCCCTGCAGCAGGCCCACAATTCAGGGACATTTGCCTATCCCAGGAGGCCCCAAACTCAAGTCCTTGATGCCTGGGGACCTTCGATCTCCCACCCAAGGAAGGTCCTGAGTTTCAAAGGAAAATCACTCCAGCATGCAGTTGATGGGTTAAGGCTCATCAGCTCCACCACAGAAGTGAAACAAACCACCATTCCTCTTGAAATCCAGAAACTGCAGCCCAACCTGAAGAATTCTTTGCATAGTCCCAGACTCCAGTCCACCATACCCCCGCCCATGATTATCCGCTCCAGGCTCTCTGGTAGCGTCAAAGGTGAAGAAAAAGTGACCAGTTCTCCTGAAGGGGCAGTGCGCAGTGCTGGCCACTTAACCAGCATGCACATCATTAGACCCAACCGCATGGTCGCTCCGAGAGTGGGCACGACGACCCTGTCTCTCAAGAAAGAACGGCCTCACTTCTACACAGCCCTCAATCCCTTTAGAGTGAACACAGGCTTCATGTTGTTGACCGTGAAGGAGGAGAAAGAGTACGGGGAGGCCAAGAGGAAGGAATATCAGGCCAGTGAGTCCACTAGGGTAGCCGATCCAGAAAAAGCCACCAAAACTGCCTGGCTCAGGAAGATCAAAGGCCTGCCTATAGATAATTTCACGAAGCAAGGGAAAACAGCGGCCCCTGAACTTGGGGAAAACACATTTATCTGAACCAGGCTTGGGAAATTACATTGTCTTACAATAAACACAAAACCAAGTGGATGTTGGGGATTGGCCTTTTGCTTTGTTTGGATGTTCCCTGGAAATTATTGGAGAACTCCTAATTATCTTCCCATGAGCCTAAGAATTGATATTATCAAAGTGAGAAAACAGAAGGAGGCTGGGAGAGATTGGCATCTGTACTTTCATTGAAAACCATTCAGTGAAACTTAGGGAAGCCTAATTTCAGTGAGAGGGAAGAAAGGGAGGGAGAGGTGGTGATTAGAAGTTAGATATCACTCATCATTACCAATTTAGCACTATCATTCTGTTCCAGCAAATCAAGTGATAAACTTAGATCAGAATTAGGCATTGGAATTGCCTAGTATTTTTGCATGGAATTTTGATGAAGCTTGGTAAGTTCAGTTAAGAATCTTAAAAAGAAGGCCTCAACGAGTTTGACCTGTTGTATTTGAAAAAGTTTTGTGTTCTTTTCTTTCTCAGGGCTAACTCCTATGGAAAAGAATTGAACATATTCATCCTTTTTACAAAAAGAGGATGGATGCATTGAGGTTTCTATTCAAACCTTTAGAGGAGTGGTGTGAGGGACCAGGTAGGTAATTTAGGGGAGTGAAGCCTGCTCCTGGGGTTATGGCCCATTGGAGAGCTCATACGCCATCCAAAGGGAGGATAGCTCCTACTCAGGGGCTCAGCATTGCCAGGTCTTTTGCTTCTTTAAGCGAAGCCAGAAACCCAGGTTTTTCTGTGAAGTACCCTGATTTTTTAAAGGGTTGTAATGAACTTAAACAGAATGCAAATAAAAAACAAAAATATATTAAAACAAAAAACCAAAACCACAGCACTGGGTGTATGGGCCCCAGAAGTCATGGAGTGGTCAGCCTAGGTCCTGTAGCCACTTGTTCGCAACCTCGGCTCTTCCCAGGTGCAGGGAATGCAATCGCCTTGCCAAGACCTCTCGCCTTTGAGAAACATGTTTTGTTTTTTTGCCCCCCCTTCATTCCTAGGATATGAGATTTAAAATATTAACTGATAAACAGCCATGGAAAATTGTGATTTTAATGAAAATAATTTTTAAGAAAACGTGTTAATCCACACTATTCCACAAGTCTTACAAACAGCAGTTGGAGGTAGTCTAGGCAGATAGGATATTATTATCATCAAAGACAACCTGTTGCTGTCCAGTCAATTCCAACTCACAGCGACCCTATAGGACAGAGCAGAACTGCCCCATAGAGTTTCCAAGGAGCACCTAGTGGATTCAAACTGCCGACCCTTTGGTTAGCAGCCGTAGCACTTAACCACTACGTCACCAGGGTTTCCGAAGATAACTTAGTGCCTCTGAATCTCAGCTCCTTCATCTGGCAAGATCACACCATTAGCGGCAGGTGAAGGTTGGACTTAAAGCAGTAACGTCTCATTTACCGGGTAGTCACCCAATGCTACGAGTCGGAATCCACTCGATGGCAGATTATTTTTTTCTTTCTGGTACTTTATGTGATAGATACCATTATTATCTTTCCTTTACAATTGAGGAAAGAGAAGTACATAGAGGTTATATACCTGGTAAGAGAGGACCTGGGTCCAAACTCAAATGCTTAAGCTCCAGAGGCCAAGGACTCAACCTATAATTCGCAGTTTCCTGGCATCCAAGGCTATTTCCCTCTCAATTAATATTCTCCATTGTTTAGTCCTCTCTCCCTGTTCTTAATGACTTTTTATCCCTAGGTAGAAGCAGATTGGAGCCCTGGTGGTGTAGTGGTTAAGTGACATGCCTGCTAACCAAAAGGTCAGCAGTTCAAACCCACCACCCGCTCCTTGAAAACCCTATGGGGCAGTTCTAGTCTGTCCTATAGAGTCGCAGTGAGTCGGAATCGACCTGAATGCAACCGGTTTAGGAGCAAATTTTCTTTTTTTTAATTGCTTCTAAAACTTTTAAGTACAAAAGGAATACTGCGGAGGAATATATGTCGTTGCAAAACATTCCACCAAAGTAGATGTATAAAATAATAGCAATCAACAGTGCTCCGTAACAAACCACGAAGCTCTTCCCCAGGCCAGATTTCTGCACTTCATCACTTCTGTCTGGACCTGCCCCGGCCGTGTGCAAGTCCCGCGCACCCGACCCCGCGCGCGCGCGCGCCGCCGCCGCCTCGCACCCCTCGCTCCCTGCCCCGGCGCGGAGTTGCTCTTCCAGAGCGGCGCCTCCCAGAGAAAGTGGAGAAAGGGTGGGGCTTGTACTTTGCCCCGTGCTGGCCTGTGCGTAGGAGACTGCGTCCGTTCCACAGCCGGGCCTCGGCGGCGGCGCGCTGACGTGGCTGCCCGGAACTGGGGCTGGCGTAGCGCCGCCATGTTGCAGCAGGTGAGGGCTGTGCGCCGTGGGCTTTGGGGCCTGGGTTGCAGGGTGGTTTGAGCGCGAGTCGGCGTCCTGTGCCGTTGGGCCCGCGACGCGGCCCGCCGCCTGAGCTCGAGGAGGTGCGGCCTGGGCGTGGGGAGGGCCCGGGAGACTGTGGGCAATTGTCTGGTGGGGGACAAGTGCGGCAGTGAAGAAGAGCGGACCCGTGTGGGGAGTGACCTGGGCTGAGCTGAGGAGGGACAGCTTTTCGCGGAGAGCCCCGGCGTAGGAGGGGCACACTGTAAACTAAACAAATAGTGAGCGCTGGAACGACTGCGTGCTGAAACGCTCTCGTGGGTGAAGTTGCGGGTGTTTTGTTTGTTCACCCTTTCGCAGGTGGGTGGGGTGAGGAGGAGTGGACTGCGGGCCTCCCGCAGGTCTTTGCCAGGCCCCTAGGGATGCGCGGCGAGCGTTGCATTCGAGTTTTCCCTTCCCAGACTGGCATTGATGATGATTAATGGTCCACTTCGATGATTATGTTTGTGTCCTTAAACTTAACTGTAGTTCGCATGTTTACGGCCAGAGATTAATGAGGGTAATTTAATAATCTTTTCCTTTAAAAATTTTTTTACTGATTATAGTGCACTTTCAGTTACACTGTCTAAAATGTTTCATTTCACAATTCATTGAGGGATTACTGTGACTCACCTGCTCTACACTCTGGGATACAGCTGTGAACTAGAGAGACATGTTTGTTACCCTGAATTGTGGGAGGCTGGAGAGACATAATGAAACATGAGTTAGAACATGTCCCTCCTCTGCTCAGAACCCTCTCATGGTTTTCCCTCTCAACATTTTTTTAAAAGAAGTTCTTTGTCCAAAACTAAAGTCCCTCAGCCCTCCCCATCTCAGTAAATTTAACTCCAGGAGTGCAGATCCATTTGTCTTTTGTTTCTGGCTGTACCACTTATAGCAGTGCCTGGCACATAGTAGGCACTCCTTACTTTATGGAATAAATGAGAAGAAGCTAATCTTTCGTATATCGGGGTAAAAGATAAGAGGCTTCTAGGCAGAATGAATTACACGTTCGAAAGACCCAGTGGGGCAAAAGTTAAGGAATTTAGAACCTGGCATGTTAAGGATCTTAGTCTGGCAGGAGCTTAGCTAATGAAGGTGAGTGGCCTGGGATAAGGTGAAGGAGGTGGGAGGAGCCAGATCCTTAGAGGTCTTTTCAGTCAAAGCACTGTGGGTTTTAAGCAGGAGAATGATATGATCTAATGTAAAATGTCATCCTGGCTACTGGATGGGGATTGATTGGACTGTTGGGTTCAAGAGTGGAAGACCTCAGTTTTTATTCCATAGCATCATTCAGTGGTTCTCAGCCTTGTCTGCACACTTGGGATGCTTTAAAAAATCAGGTGCCCAAGCTGCATTCCAGATCAATTGTATCAGAGCCTCTGGAGGTGGGACCCAGGCATCGGTTTTGTCTTGTTTGACATCCTTTTTTTTTAGCCCCAGCTAATTCCAGTCTCATAGATCTGAATTTTACCTTTTCAGCTTTAGCTCCTACTCCACTTTTCACTTAACTACGTGGGCTGCTTGGCCATTCCTTATACTTACTTTGTGTGTTCCCACTCCTGTGCTTTTGAAAACATACCTAGTTGAAGGACTAGAGTGAGTAGGAGACCCTGGTCTATTAAACTCCCCTCCTGGAAGCTCCTTTTGAGCTGCCTAATAAAAACAATCCTTTTCCTCTCTGTGCTGGTATTTGCACTTACATTTCTCCTGGCACTGATCACACACAGTCTGCCCTGTATTACAGGTAATTGCCTCCTTTGTTTATGCACTCCTGTTTTCAACAAATATTGCACTGCTTGGTCAGGTGCTCTGCTAGGATCCATGCTAGGGTGCTGGTCTTGCTAGTCAGGTGCTAGAAGTTAGTACATTGTAAAGACAGTTTTTCCCTCTAGTAGCTTACAGTCTAGAAGGGAATAGAGGGAGGTCACACTTCGTAATGAGAATACCCTGAGATAATTGTTCAAATGGAGATTTTGTCTGAGTACTGTGGGAACATGAGGAAAGGTGTGCCTGGGCATTTCAGGGAAAGTTTCACAGCTATTTCAGTATTTGAGCTGAAATTAGAAAGATCATTTGGTGTTTGCTTGGTGTGAGTGAGGTAGGGGTTAGAGAAGGGAAGAGCTTTCTGGGTAGAGACAGCATGTTAGAGACAGATAGAAAAGACTAGTGTTAAATTCAGAGTACATGTAACAGTTTTGCTGAAGTGTCAAGTGTGAGAGAGTGTCAGAAGGTAAGTAGGCAGAGACCAAGTTATGAAATCTCATAGGCTGTATGTGCAGTAGTTAAATTTTACCCTGTGCTGTAGGGAAGCCATTGAAAAATTTGAGTTGGGGAGTGACACAGTATGATTTCCATGTTAAGACGATTATTATGTGGATGATGTGGAGGAGAGACGAGAGTTGAAGGGGTTTGAGACTAGGAGAAAGGCAGGAGGCTGGTAAATGGCTGGCGCTGGTCAAGCGAGAAGGAGCAGTTTCACTGTTGGGGTTGAGGCTGAAGGTGAACTACAGTGAACTGAGGAGAGAACGTCTCTTGGAAGCCTGGCTGGGAAGGGAAGGAATGCTGTGGGTTGGTAGCCAGAAGGGAGATTCAGGATCAGGGCTTTTAAAAAATATTTTTTGACCAGTAATGACACTCAAGTTCGTATGCTGATTTGACAGATCCAATAGAAAGACTTGAAAATACAAGAAAGAGTAAATAAAGGGAAAATTGGTGGAACAAGCCCCTGAGGAGGCAGGAAAAGAAGGGATCCCAAAGACAAAGAGTTGGCTTAGCCTTGAATAGGAAGAGAAAGTTGTGAGATGAGGTCATGGAAGCAAGGATGCAGTCATCCGTGATGGCCTCAGTTTTCTCTATGACTTGAGAGGTGGCAGCTGAGCACAAATGTAAGTTTGCGTGAGCATCATCTACATCCCTGAGTGGTTTTCTCTTAGGGCTCGGCCCCCTGGTGGGGATGGAGATAGCAGACACTAGATTACCATGTGGGGTTCTTGCTGTATGATGGCAGCAGAATGGAGTGGGAAGGCCGCTGTCAGTGTTCTTTCCCTAGGTTGGGAATTCCTGATGGCTGTGACCACATCGCAGTCTCATCTTCCTTTTGACTAGCCTGCTGCCTTGCAGGTATTTGGCATGGAAATCCTGAATTTCATTATGCTTCATGGATGTTTAATTTTCCTTTTAGGACAGTAATGATGACACTGAAGATGTTTCACTGTTTGATGCGGAAGAGGAGACAACTAATAGACCCACAAAATCCAAAATCAGGTATGTAGATCAGTTAAAAGACGTTTCTGTTGTTAGTGTGCAGGGTTGTTCTGTCCATAGACTGATGAGAGACGATGAAATTCAAGGCTTACAATGTGCTTGTGAGTGCTGTGCATTGCCAGTTGATCTTCAGTCTGAGACGCAGATGACTTTTCAGATTCTCCTTGGGTATGTGAAAATCTAGTACAGCACAGGTCTACTCTGAAACACGTGGGGTTGCCATGAGTTGGAATCGATTCAGTGACAACTGGTTTCTGGTTTTTATATCTGGCATAAGTAGCCCTGGTTGCACAGTGGTTAAAGCAATTGACTGCTAACTGGAAGGTCGGCGGTTCAAAATCATCAGTGGCTCTGCGGGAGAAAGATGTGGCAGTCTGCTTCTGTAGAGATTTACAGCCTTGGAAGCCCTTTGAGGTCCCTGTGAGTTGGAATCAACTCGACAGCAGTGGGTTTGAGTTTTGTTCTTTGGTTATATGGAAATTTATTTAATACTGATTTTTCAAATCAGCAAATCCTACTATTTGAATGTCTGCTATGTATCTAATTCTGTGTTAGCTACTATTTACTGAGAATAGTAGCACCATTTCCTTAATTTTTGTAGTTACATTACATTTTGATTTATTGTACAAATTTCAGAATTGTATTTTTAGTATAAACTGACATGAAAATATCAAGCCAGACATACCAGATGCTTTCTGTTCCAAATTCAGTCCTCTGTAAAGAAAGTCACTTAATATAATAAAACTTTATCTGAACCTTGGCAACAGTTATGCTAAGTGAAGAAGCCAGTCACAAAAGGCCAAACATTGTTTGATTCCATTTCTGTGAAATGTCCAGAATAGGCAAATCCACAGAGATGGGAAGTAGTTACCTAGGACTGAGATGATGAGGATTGGAGAACAATGGGGAGTAACTGCTGACAGGTATAGGGTTTCTTTTACCCTTTTTTTTTTTGACCCAGGGTTTCTTTTTCATCATTAGGGTGATGAAAATGTTCTAAAATTGATTGTAGTGATGTTTACAAACTCTGTGAACATACTAAAAACCATTGAATTGTACAATTTAAATTGATGAATCGTAGGGCATGTGAATTATATCTCAATAAAACTGTCAAAAAACAAAAAACAAAAACTGAACACTCTAGCCGGTGGTTACTTACAGTTTCTGAGGACTTAGAGTTCTTTTGGCATGATTTTTTTTTTTTATTGTACTTCAGGTGAAGGCTTACAGAACAAATAGTTTCTCATGAAACACTAGTACACATACTGTTTTATGACGTTGGTTAACAACCCCACAACGTGTCAACCCTCTAACTTCTCAACCTTTTTTTTGGTGAAAATACACATAGCCAAAGATACACCATTTCAAAAATTTCTACATGCACAGTTCAGTGA